TATATATATATATATATATATATATATATATATATATATATATATATTTACCCTATAGGTTATGTCTCTCCCTTTATTTTCACAAAATAATCATATTTTTATGCTTTGTTTAGTTTTATACCTCTTCTTGAGAATATTTGCAATAGACACTGCAGTCTTTCATTCAAGCTGTCCACCATAGCTATTAAGCACACTGGTTTGTTTTGCTATTTAACTTCAATTGCTATTTCACATTTCCATCTGCTGTATTTATTGCCATCGTTTCCCCATCTTCCAGTTGCTTTCTTCCTCCACATTCACTTTTTACTAAAGGAAGGAAAAAAAACTTAGAACGTTGCAAAAAAAATGCAGCAAAAGAGAGCATCAGTGCACGCTCGGGGGAAATAAGAGTAGCAGGCAGCAGTTGTTGAAAGCTGCTGCAGTAGAGGTGTTTTGTCTTTTTCTTTTCACCTCACCCTCTGTGACTCTGTGCACTAGAAGCTCATTGTCATAAAAATGGAATCTGTCACCCTGCCATACACCTCCGTCAAGGTAGAAGGGAGAACAAAGAAAGAAGCTTAGTTGACACTCACCTGTACAGAAGTATACAATAATGAAAAAATGTGAAACATTCAAAATCAGGCTGTTGTAATTGTTGTCTTTAGCTGTACACAAAGGGAAGAATGTAATTTCCATATCATTAACTTGAACTAAATAGGCTTTTTTTCTCAGAGAATACTTAAAAAGCTACACAAAAGGATTTTAAATTTGAATGCTTTGAAAATGAATAACTTGCTTAAAATGGTACCAAAACGTTGGAAATGCTGTAGACATGACTTAGGAATGATTCCATTATCCCGACAGTGCCATTTGGATATTTTGCAGACACAAAAAGCGTTGTTTATGTGATTCATAGATGCGCACAAGATTTAAGCTGTGTGCCAAGCAGCACTGCTTGAAAGACAATTTAAAAAAGGGCCTCTTATGGCTGGGCACAAAATCCCACCACATCCCATCACATATTCTAACATCTGGAGATCAATTGCTCTGGACAAGGTTTAATTTGTAAAACAAGATGAATTGACAAGAGAGATCTGGTGGAAGCCAGAAATATTGTGAAGGATGTTCAAACAGCATTACTTTATTTGATATTCCTGTGTAATTTTGTTAGTCTAGTATAGTATACTGACCAAAAGTTGTTTGTGGCCTGAAATTGATTGAGTACCGGGACAACAAGACAGAAAGACAAACTAAACACTTGCCAAGCTTTTCAAGTCAGCAACTGGATATCAAAGACACAGACCATGGAGGAAGAGAAGTCTATAGAGATTGAAAAAAAAGTTAAACTACATGCATCACAGCATTTAAACATGGATATCAAGTAAAACAGATGAGTATATAGATATAGAGTATGGCCCCAATGCATTGTAGTTTCCTGGCAGCCCACGGTATAAGTTAGGGATGGTTTATAATCACCTAAGTTAGGACTAACTATTAGGTATAACAGACTTTAAGACTATCCTGGGGGCTTGTTTAATAGGAAAGAAGTCTGATATCTAAAGACTTTTTTGGTTTTTGTTAAATTGAGAATCTTCATCAACCACGAGAAAGCCAGCAGCTGAAGAGCAAAGAGCTCTGTTGAGATAATACACTGTGCTCCTAAAGACATGATGAAATTAGGTCAGTATTGGCTTTGTGTGTATAAAGCTTTTAGCATACTATCCTGGATTTGAAACAGATATGTATTTTCTATTTTAAAGTAGCATTTTTTCTTTCTACTGCTTGTTAAGGATTTGTTGAAGGGCATGGGATTTAGAGGATGACTAAGTGACCGCAATCAGACATCAAAGAAGTGATAACAAATTTTAAAAAGTCTGTTTTCTTTGTTTTTTTGTTGTATTTACCCTTTTTTTGTTTTTTCATCTCTCTAAAATGGAATAATATTTTACTGTAATAATATATTTATAAAAAACTTTACTATCTACATCTAGTTGTTTAATTGTCAAGCTGAAAATGTACTTTAGAAACTATTGCTTTTAAATTCCATCAAATTATCTCCCATTTGTATTTAGGAATGTTTTATTTTAGAAATTAATAGGTTATAATCTTCTCCTCCTCTCCTTCATCCCACTATCTCGTATTCTAATTTCAGGCCGCAGCGGGTGAACTGGTTGAAGGTTGATGATGACGTGCCATCCCACGCTGTCATCACTGGTGGCGATCTTTATATTGAAAACCTAAACAAGTCATACAATGGAACATACCGCTGTGTGGCATCCAACTCAGTTGGGGAATCATTTGATGACTACATCCTCTATGTCTATGGTAAATTCAAACTAATCTTTCTTTTAGCCATGAACACATGATGTTATAGTTGAATATTTATTATTATTATTATGTATCAGTGGTTGTTTTTACTCTCATTGGTCTTCCAGCTTTTCTCTGTTTTATTTACAATGTAAAAACGTATATAAAAGTTGTTTCTTGGTTAACAGTTTTTGCCCTAGCCTTTATGATCAGTTGCTATATGACCAAATATGAGAGACTAAACTAATACAGCTAAAAATGTATTTGTTAAACATTAAACCATCTTTTAAACTTTCAGTTTGGAAAAATGCAGGCAAACTATCATCATCTTTGATCAGAAGTTAGACTGGTTCACTGGTTTCTGCTCCTTAGGATATCTTTAATGCTATACTCTTTTAATTTGTTACAGACGAAAACAGTATGCCCTTTCCATCGTTTTCTCTCTGTTTTATATTCCCAGTTTAACTTTATCTAAAGGAAGAAAAAAAGGATTATTTTTTAAAATGAAAACTAACTTAAAAAGAAATTATACTCTGCATTTGTATCTTAATATTGCATTTTCGAGTTTGAATACCTACTAAGATTTATTTTACACAGGATACTTTGGTATTGGAAAAAAATTGTAGAAAAATACTACAGTTGGATGTACTTTTTTTTTTTATTGTTGAGAAAAAATGAAAAATAATTTTTCAAAAATACAACATAGAATAAATCAGATAATCAGTCGAATAGCTTGGGGGAAAATATTTAAAACAGTTGAGCTTTTGCCGTAACTGCCGTTCAATGATCTGAAGAAGTGTTGTCAAATTTTCCTTGGAAGACTTTTTTTGGATGACCTCTGAATGATCTTTGTTTGTCAGTCTGGCTGACAGATTATATAAAACAGATTGTTGCTCAGTCTTGATTTTTAGCCAGTGATTGAAAACAAAACTCTGATATCATCTATAACTGAGTAAATTATTTGATCAATATCCTTAATGTGTAAAATGTACAGGACTGCTCAGTTTTTGTAAATAACATTTGGAAGTGAGGGAGAAAGTTTGGGCATGTCTCTGTGAATGTTATCAACCCCTGTTTTCCCATCAGGTTAAAATCTAGTTTAGTTGTTTACAGAGGTTGGCTCGAAAATTCCCTTACTGCAAATGTAATGTTCACTCTAAAGGTAACCTGACTTCACTGACTCCATTGAGTTATTGGATTTCATTTCTAATATATCAGTCCAGAGGTCATGCATCACTTTTTCATTACATCTTAATGTAAGTCAAGTCAGTATTATTTCAAACCCCAAAGTTCTGTACTTGCATAATGTTTTTATAATCCCTACAGCACCGTAACCACCATTCAGGTAAGAAAACTCAGCCTGTATTCCATGTGCAGTGTGCGCTCTTTTTTTTTTTAATATCAGCTGGGGGATCAGTAGATGTGTTTGGTGCGTAAGCTACTGAGAACTGTTGCTCCTTTTTATATAAAAGGATTATCCCTTAACCTGCTTACACCCACTTTTGCCAGATTTCATCATTTTTATAGAAATTCCATATTGATCCAGCTTTCTCCTTCCTAACTGTATAATGCTTCATTCTTTTCTGTATTGTTAATACCAATTACATTTTCTCCCTCAGCAGGGCATTTTACGACAATTTCTTTGTTTTTTCCAACCAAAAGGACTTTCCTATTGGTAGAGTTTTGGTAGACCATAAGAACACAGACAAATTATTTCACTGCTATTGTAAGAGGAAATTAGTGGATTGAAAAGGTTTGTTTTATGTATGAGGTGAAAGAAAGACCAGTACCTTATGGACACCTGCTTGTCTATGCTCGGAGTGTGGTGTAAAGCTATTCAAGGGGTTTGAAGAGCTCCCCAAATTGGTTTCTACTCATAACGACGCTCATTAGTCCACACAAGAAAAATTAACAACAACTTCAATCTAATCCAATACAGTTAAATGGTGAATAGAACTTCATTTGTAGTCCCTTCCTGATCCTTTGATTGTGTCTGACATTTGCTTCTGAGGTATTTTGCAGGTCACTGAGTCATTGGAGTGCTGCAGTAGGATGAAAAACTGCAGTTGTATTTTTTTCATAGTTCTGTCAAAGAGAGACTGTTCAAAGCATTTCTAAACTCTCCCTGCCAGAAAAGGGTCACACAGATGAACTCTTTACATTCACATTTTGACAACTGTGTTGCAACTTAGCGTGTTATGAAGACCATAGAATATAAACAGTGCTTTTTTACTTGTTGTCAACAGGTTTTATTTACCAGAGTGCCAGAAACTAAACATGAACTCTGGTTAGTATATGCATACAGGCAAACGTTTCCTGTGCTCCAAAAAATAAAAACAGAGCACTGCAGCCACTCCTTGCCTGTTTTGTTGCAACAGCTAGTCATCAAATTGTATCCTAACTTCCTCCTCCTGGAAGGGAAGTTATCCAATGCGGGATTTATGTACAAAGATGTAATGTAACATGCTTTGTTATCAAATTCAGTTTTGTCAGTAACCACTATAAATGTGACAGTAGCCATTATCGCTTTTGTGCACACTTAATGTGTTGACAGATGTGTCTCCGATGATGTGTTGTAATGTCGAAGAGGCCAGAAAGACATCAAGCAAGGGCCACAAAAATGTCAATCAGCTACAGCGCCAAACTGTGTAATGCAGGTTTAAAATGGCTGTAGTATATCAGCCCACAGCCAGTTCAGGACATTTTCAGGCACTTTTTGTACTTTCTGTACAAAAAAAAGGCAATTTTCAGATTTTTTTTTTATATCACAGTTGAGCAGTGAATTCTATTTGCCCAAAATTGGTTTTGCAGTACTGCAACAAACAGATCTTGATTCGAGGCTCTAAAATGACTCATTAAATTCATGAAAACCTGTTCAGCCAGCAGTTAAGCCAAAGAAGGAATCTGTTGTCCTGCTCTTTCATCATAAATCCTCTGCTGGATGCTACTGGATGAACATTTAAAACAGCAGAGATCTTTTTTTATATAGCAAAGTGCTTTTTGCTAGTTTAGGACTTAATTTAGGGCTGAATGAGTCAGAACTGACCATGTAAAATATAAAATCTTAGCAAAAATATTATGGAATCAGAATCAGTTTGGTCTAGTTGTGAACATGCAGCAGGGTTTTTAGTCGCATGAATAATCACTAAACTCAAGTAAAAAAACATTTCACTAAACCATTTTCGAATATTTAATGCATCCATGCTGATGTATCAGTAGTGCTGAACAACATAAACCTATTGCCCCTTTCTCGTCATCCCTAGACTCCCCCTTTTAAAATGCAGCATGTGGGAAACTAAAAGCCTTGCAAAAAACGGACAACCACAATTAAAGCCAAAGAAGGTATCCATTCGTTCTGAGCTCATCTTTGAATGAAAATGAATGTTAAGCATGTCATGCTGAACATTCATTTTCCCAGTTGTAAGTCAGGATGCTGTTGCTTGAGATGTCAGAGGCTGATTTCAACATAATTTTCTCAAACTTCACCACCACACACGGAAACACCCCCCCTGTTGCCTCTGCACTATCAGCACAGTGGATGTACTTCTGCAGTCAACTATTTACATAAGCAACTTTTACTAAGGCACATATGTACACAGAAAGATTTGTCTGAACATCTCTACTCAGAGCAGCCCACAGGCCAAGGCTACCACTGTGGATCACTTAATGGAGACTACAGGTGTGATATGAAATGCATGTACTTTTGTAGATTTTGGTCAAAAGTCCAGTTCAGTTCAAAACTGCAGTTCAGTTTATAGTAGGACAAGATCTTCCACTCATTGTCTCTGTAAAATCATCAACTCATAATCAAACAAAATAGAGGCATTATGCATGGATGTATTTCTAAAAGAAAGCTAATAAAAAGGAAATGCAGAGTTATATCATGGAATATCAAATGTACTGTGTATAAGTTGTTTAATGGTTTTGCTATCCTCTAAACATCTCAAATGGTTTCAGTCAGATGAATGCATGCAGTATGCAGGCATGAGGATCATTTGTCCAGAGTTATGTGACAAAACTGAGAATGGACGAATTTGACAGGAAGAGAAAATAGAAGTGACAGTAAAGTGCAACTGGGATAGCTTGAACACCCAGAGATGAAGGCAGTCATTAAAGAGCGAAACTCTCTTGTTGGACTTCTGCAGAGCCATAAATTGACATGAATTCTGATGAAAATCAGCATTATATGCTTTTGTAGCCTTTTGAAAATCAGCTGAGCTGAAAAGTATTTATTGATAACATTCCATAATGGTGATTAGTTAAAACAACACCTATGTATTCTAATTAAGCTTTTTTAAGGCAAGTAATCTAATTAAGAGATGGAGTCAAAAGAATTAATCCTTTAATCAAGCTAATTTGACAGGTAAACTTTAACTTTTGTTAGGTTTTTGTAATTAATGTAAGGCTGAGTGTGTAAACCAGTCTAACAATGGTTGGGATTAAGCGCAGGCTGTTTTAGATACAGAAGTAGGGTGTGAGAAATATACATATATGATTGAGGTAGTATGTAAATCTCAGTCTCTCTTTTGTTTCTTTCGACATCAGCCCTTCATTACCCATTCTCCCAATAAGAGTATTGAGTTTATGTGCGAACTCACTGGAGTTCATGAAACATGGGGCTACATTATCAAGTATGAAACAGGGGATCTCTTGCTGTATCACTTTGATCAGCAGGATGAAAAGTTTGGGTCATTAAATTCCCAACTGTAGGAAGTATGTTGACTTTCTACAACTGGGGACTGCAGAAATTGGAGGTTCCTCATCGTCCTGAAGAGAGAGTTAGGTGCAGCCAGAGTCACAGTAAAAGAAGAATAACAAGAAGAAATCCTGGCACTATCTGTTGCTAAAAGCGGGAAATGGAATTTTCTCTAACTGAAACTTTGATAGCCAGAAGAAAGGTACTGTTCAGTGCTGTATGGCAATCAAAAGACTGGCGCTATAGGTTTTTGGATTTTTCATGCAACCTGCCAAACATCTGAGGATAAAACACCGGCAGATCTTTTCATCCTCGTGTGTTTTAACTCTGACTGCAGTGTTTTAAAAAACATTGTTAGTCCTT